ACACACACACACACACACACACACACACACACACACACACATACATACATACATACATATATATATATACATACATACATATACATATACATATATACATATATACATATGGTGGCACAACAGCCATACACCAGTGGTTCATGCATATACCATACAAAATGTTAAATACGTTTGAAATTTCTATGTGTGTTTCCAGTTGTAGATGTTTTGCCAGCTGACTGACCTCCTCCATGTATTCAGGCTCTGAGGCTGAGGCGTCCCAGCGGTTGTTAAGGATGAAAATGTTGGGACTGGAGAGTCGCTCATTGACCTTGTGAAAGAAGGACTTCTCCTGTAGGAGGACATCATTTACAACCGTTTTAAAAGACATCATACATGTACAACATTAGCATGACATTGACATTAACTACCGCAGTCCGTCAGATTATTCCACTATCTCATCATACAGTTCACTCAGTTCTGAAGCTGATGTCTCAAACTAAAGAGGTGCCATGTCTCACCGTCTGCATCAGTGTGGACTCAGAGTTTGCCACCAGAACAAATACATCAGCATCCAGGCAGAACTTGTCGATCCAGCTGTCCAGTTCTGTGGTAACATCGATACCTGGGCTGGAGAGGAAAACAAAGTAGAAATCGCAGATGAGCATGGCAGCTTAAGCAAGAGAAATGAAATATTCTCCTTTTACGAGCAGGTTTGTATTTTTTTTAATTGCTAGCACTACATACAGCTTATCCCATCTTAGCCTTGGTAGAAAATGCTGTGACCTTTCTAGAACAGGTCTATGCTCCACTGCCGATCTGCATGCTAAGGATGCTAATGTATTCACAGCATAGTATTTCTTAAGACTTGAACAACACTACAGTGCTAGAAGAACAACTTTAATGCAATAAATTCCTGTCAAGTTATGTGACATACAGTACACCTGTAATATTAATACTATCAAGTTAACCACTTGATTGAAGAGTCATTCGTTTTACATTCAACACTTTTCCACAAAAACGTTTGTTACAAAAAGGTGATGAAAATGAATTTGTTGATGAAAGAGTGTTAACTTGTGTCTGACCTGTCCACCAACACCAGATCATCCCTGAGCAGAGCACACTTGGCTTTAGGCCACATGACACAGACCAAGCTGCCGGCGTCCAGGTCCTTATCCTGGTGGAGAGCGTGGGCCAGCTGGTTCACAGTCTGTAAACACACACATCAGCAGATTACCGCACACAGCAAAGACCTTCCTTGAACTCCTGCAGACTGGAGTTTGGAGGTAGTTTGACCTGTATACTCTGTAGGGGTGCAACGGATCACAAACCTCACGGTTCGGATCGTACCGCGTTTTTTGAGTCACGGATCAGATAATTTTTCCTTATTACACACTATGATGATGATTTTTTATTTATTTTATTGAAAGACAAGAGACAATATTAGACAATATATAGACATAACAACAAGAGGATGACAAGAACAGTGGGATAAAAGCTAGCAAACATATAGTCAGTGTGTGTGTATGTGCGTGTGTGCTTTAGAATGTCCTTGAGCCTTTTGAGATGGAAGGAAAAAAATAATAATAATAATTAAAGCTGCGAGCAGCGATGAACGGGCCCTCGCTATCTGCAGCGCGTCGGGGGTGCCGGCGGGACTCCGGCCTGCGCGTCCGAGAACGTCCGCGACTGTCGGACGGCACGTCTGCGAGCGAGACGTTTTTAATCCCGCGTGGACCGCCTGATGCTGGAAATGATGCTTTGCAAATAGTCCGATGCTTCCTGTATCCGCTGCCTGGTGCTACAGAACACGTGCAAACATGCATCATGTAGCTCTGTGTCAAATGTAAACCACATTGTGTAAAAGTCATGTAAATCAGATGATGTTTGTCACAAAATATAGATTTCCTTTCGCCAGCAGGTGGCACTGTGAGTATTAGTGAAAATGAGCTAGTAGACATCCTCAGGCCATGAGTGTTATCAAGCATGAGAAGTTTGGGACCATTTGGAACAAGTCCAGCTGAGTTACATCAGCTTTTTTCATGGGGAATCACGTAAAGTAGCCGCCCGCTACGGCTAAACGATTCCGTCAAACATGAAGCTTTTGATAACTTTTAATCACAACGGTCTTGACATGGTACTGACAAAATTTAAAGTGGATCTGATGAAGACCCTAGGAGGAGTTCGTTAAAGTATAGAGACTAGAAATAGGCCAAAATCTATGGACAAATGACACATAAATCAAAATGGCCGACTTCTGGTAGGGTTTAGAGCATGGTCCCAAGAGACTTATTTGTAAGTCTCCATATGATACATCTGCCTACCAACTTCCATACATGTAGCTGAAACGTAGTGCTGGGGCTGCTGTTTTTAAATATTGTAGGGGGCGCTATAGAGGCAATTTAAAACAGCCAAGCCAACAAACCATATACACTGTCTTCATATGACCTATGACACATGTACAAAGTTCCATGAGTTTTTGAGCATCCCAAGTTACTAAACAATTTTTCATGGCGAACGATGCGTCGCCACGGCAACAACGTTCAACGAAAACTCACAATATTCATGGTGATGCATCATCAATGTCTTAAGGCTATCCTTACCAAATTTGAGACTCATCAGGTCACCTGGCTAGGAGGAATAAATAAAAGTATAAAATATGACATTTCCTTCAGCCAGTAGGCGGCGCTATGAGTTATTGATTTTTTTCAATTGAAGTATGTTTAAGCTTGAAGTAGCATCATGCATAAGCAGTTTTGTGCGGATTGGATAATGTACCTTGGAGTTATAACAACTTATAAGAACTTATTTTTTCAAAAACAATGAGGCAAAATGGCCGCCACGCCACGTCAAGGTTCTTCCATGAAAAGTTACGATTTTGATAACTTTTAATCACAAAGGTCTTAAGAGCATCCTGACCAAAGGAGAAGTTGATCGCATAAATTCTCTAGGAGTTCGTTAAAGTATGAAGCCTGAAAAATGCAAAAACTGACAAAAAGCACAACTTCGCGAGGTTACTGTACCGCCCCCTAGTGGTTGAATGCAAAACAAATCGCAGGGTTTGTTACAGGATGCGATGTGCACATATGCTGCAAATATTGTAATTTTAGGACAAACGGTTGAGAAGTTATGTGCATTGATATTAAGCCACGCCCCTAAGAAGGTTGTTGGTCCATATGTTGTAAACGCTAAGAGATATCAAAAAGTTTTTGATGACTTTTGATGATCTATATCCAATAATGATCCAGCGAAGATTTGGTAGCAATCGGACCCATCATGTCGGCAGAGCTTGCAAAATGTGTTTTTCACTAAATTCAAGATGGCGGAAAATCTAAGTAGGCGGAGCTTAGGGGTCTGAGAGGCTTTTTTTTTTTTTTTAGATCTAGCGGAGTCAGACATGTGTGTCGATTTTCAAGTCAATCGGACATACTGGCCGAGGGGCGTCGCCGGTCCAATTTGTAGGGGGCGCTAGAGAGCCATTTTTTTACACTCAAATATGCAAATTATGGCAGCAAAGTTTCTACACCAGATCTGACAGGTGTGCAAAAATGGTGAGTTTTCATAAATTCCAAGTCCCCCTACAAGCTCCATCCCCACAAAAATAAATATCATAAATAATTAAAGCTGCGAGCAGCGATGAACGGGCCCCCGCAATCTGCAGCGCGTCGGGGGTGCCGGCGGGACTCTGACCTGCGCGTCCGATAACATCCGCGACCGCAGGACGGCGCGTCCGTGAGCGGGACGTTTTTAATCCCGCGGGGACCGCCTGATGCTGGAAATGATGCTTTGCAAGTAGTCCGATGCTTCCTGTATCCGCTGTCTGCCGCTGCTGAATACGTGCAAACATGCATTATGTTGCTCTGTGTCAAGTGTAAACCACATGGTGTAAAAGTAATGTAAGTTGGAGGAGTTTGTCACAAAACTCAGTTTTCCTTTGGCCAGCAGGTGGCGCTGTGAGTATTAGTGGAAATTAGCTTGTAGACATCCTCAGGCCATGTGTTATCAAGCATGTTAAGTTTGAGACTGTTTGGAACAAGTCCAGCTGAGTTATATCAGCTTTTTTCATGGGGAATCACATAAAGTAGCCGCCCGCTACGGCTAAACGATTCCGCCAAACGTAAAGCTTTTGATAAATTTTAATCACAACTGTCTTGACATGGTACTGACAAAATTTAAAGTGGATCTGATGAAGTCCCTAGGAGGAGTTCGTTAAAGTATAGCGACTAGAAATAGGCCAAAATCGATGGAAAAATGACACATAAATGAAACTGGCCGACTTCCAGTAGGGTTTAGAGCATGGTCCCAAGAGACTTATATTTAAGTCTCCGTAGGATACATGTGCCTATCAGGTTTCATACATGTAGCTCAAACGTAGCGCTGGGGCTGCCCTTTTGAAATATTGTAGGGGGCGCTATAGAGGCAATTTAAAACGGCCAAGCCCAAAACCCATATACACCATGCCCGCCTATGACCTATGACACATGAACAAAGTTCCATGAGTTTTTGAGCATCCCAACCCACTAAACCATCAGCTTCCTTTGTCATGGCGAACGATGTGTCGCCACGGCGACAGCGTTCAATGAAAACGCACAATATTCATGATGTCATGGCGTCACCAGTCCGACTTGCAGGGGGCGCTAGAGAGCCATTTATTTACTAAATAAACAGTACACAAATATGCAAATTATGGCAGCAGAGTTTCTCCAGCAGACCTCAGACGTGTGCAAAATTGGTGAGTTTCCATGCATGGCAAGTAGCCCTACAAACTCCATTCCCACAAAAATAAGAATCAGAAAAAAAATAACCACCACTACAGTTTCAATAGGGCCTCGCTGGCCCGAAGTTGTCGGTTGCTCGGGCCCTAATAATACCCCTTACAGCTTCAATAGGGCCTCGCTGGCCCGACGTTGTCGGTTGCTCGGGCCCTAATTAAAGCTGCGAGCAGCGATGAACGGGCCCTTGCATCCTCCAGCGCGTCGGGGGTGCTGGCGGGACTCCGGCCTGCGCGTCCGAGAACGTCCGCGACCGCCGGACGGCGCGTCCGTGAGTGAGACGTTTTTAATCCCGCGTGGACCGCCTGATGCTGGAAATGATGCTTTGCAAATAGTCCGATGCTTCCTGTATCCGCTGCCTAGCACTACAGAACACGTACATTATGTAGCTCTATATCAAGTGTAAGCCACATTGTGTAAAAGTCATGTAAATCGGATGGTGTTTGTCAAAAAATGCAGATTTCCTTTCGCCAGCAGGTGGCGCGGTGAGTATTAGGGAAAATTAGCTTGTAGACATCCTCAGGCCATGAGTGTTATCAAGCATGTGAAGTTTGGGACCGTTTGGAAGAAGTCCAGCTGAGTTACATCAGACATTTCCTTTAGACAGTAGGCTTTGCGCAACTTTGCGGGTTTGCTGTAGCGCCCCCTAGTAGTTGAATGCAAAACAATTCGCAGGGTATGTTACAGCATGTGATGTGCACATATGCTGCAAATATTGTAATTTAAGGACAAACGGTTGAGAAGTTATGTGTATTGATATTAAGCCACGCCCCTAAGAAGTTTACTGGTCCATATCTTCTAAACGCTAAGAGATATCAAAACACTTTTGATAATTCTTGATGATCGAGATCGAATAATTATCCACAGCAAATTTGGTAGCAATCGGACCCAGCATATAGGAGGAGCTTGTCTGAGAGGCTTTTTTGTAGATCTAGCGGATTGGGACATGTGTCGAATTTTAAGTAAATCGGACATACTGGCCGAGGGGCCAACAACAAAACAAAAAACAAAAATCAATAATAGTAATAAATACATAAAAAATATATACTATACAAATTTTAATATTAATAGGATGGGTGGTGTCACATTTGCAGAAACATAGTGAGGGATGACCAGGTGGAGCGGTGTTCTGTTGTATTGTATATGATGGACGAGGTTAGATTTCCATTGAAATATACTCTATCATTAAGTTTCTCCAGTGTGTGATATGTGTGTTATTCCTTGATTTCCAGTTCATGAGGATAGTTTTCTTGGCGATAGTTAGGGCCACGAGGAGTAATTTGCGATTTGTTTTCCTCAGATGTATTGTTGAGATGTCTCCTAGTAGGCACAGTGAAGGGCATAATAGGACGAGGCAGCCCAGGAAGACAGACAGTGACTCACTTATTTCTTTCCAAAAGTGATTAACTGGTGTGCAGTGCCAGGTGGCGTGAACAAAGCTATCCGGGCTGTTTTGAGTGCAATGTGGACAGATATCTGACGTGAATCCCATTTTAAACATTTTTTGCCCAGTGTAATGAATTCTGTGAAGTATTTTATACTGTATTCGTTGTAAATTGGCATTTTTAGTCATGAAGTAGATGTTATTGCAGATTTGGTTCCAGAAATCCGCATCAGGAGTGATGGACAGGTCTGATTCCCATTTTCTTGATGGTATGGATGATGTTTTGTCAGACTGTGATATTACTCTACATATTTTTGAGATTAACTTTTTTGAAGAGGGGATATTAATTCAGTGTGGCTTTGTGGCACAAGGCAGTAAAACTGCCTGTGCCAAAGCACACTGTATATTATCCATCGGGCTTAATAATAACTAGAAAATTCCTAAAGAAATTTTGACAGTGTGGCTTCTACTGCCCGAAGAAATCGCAATATATACACACGCCAATGTTACCGGTAGTGTCATTCAGGTTCAATTGAGATAGCGCTACTCTCTTTTCTGCATTTTAGATTCATACTCTTGGATTGAATCTTGTATTTGCGGGGCTTTTATTTTGAAAGGGTGGGACTGGGTGGGTGAGAGGAGAAAGTCCTCTAAAAATATCTAAGACCTGAATGACTGTATGTATATATATATTATAAAAAAAAAGAGAGAGAAAGAGAGAGAGGTGCGTGTGTGTCTCAGTGCCTCTGTGTGTTTATCAACATCACTAATGAGCTCATATAAACACCTGTGTGCTTGGGTGCATGTTGGTGATTGGAGCACCTGTGTGTTAGAGGCTAATTAAGAGATTAGAGTGAGCAGTGATTTTCAACAAAACTACCTGTCAAACATATGCCCTTCATACCAAAACCATGAGACTAATCAATAAAATATGGATACCGTGAGAGAGATAAGACTCTGGCAAACGCGGAGATGTGTTTTTTATGTTTGTGGTCTTAAAAATGTGAGCTCGAGCGCAATATGCAAAACTGGTACCGTCTGCTTTCTTTGAGAAATGAGTGGTCAGATTTAACATGGAGTCTAATGGAGCAGTTGGTTGGAGTTCATGTCGCTCTGTGGCTCTTTGAGCCAAATGTGTAAGTCCGTTGGATTCCACAGACATCTGTGTGCGACAGCATAACATTTCCAAGCTTTTTGGACAAAAATGGTGTATAAAGAGTAAACATTGTGGGAGCTGGAGCAATTTGTTTGGAAAAAAAATCACAGAATATTTTCCTGCTCCGCTCCACTCTGACAGTTATGCTCTCACTCTAGCTCTTAACGAACTGTGCAATACACACCCATTATAAAATCTGAAACAGACCCAAACGTTTCCTGAAACTTAATCTGTGACTTCTTGTTAGCTGTCAAAATGTCCATTTGGCTCAATAAAGTGCAGCGTTTTGTCTATGTTTTAAACTTTGAATCATGTTTCTACGTTAAAGTACGGCTAGTCAATATGGGCCCAAAGTTAAGTGGTTTTTTTTGCGCTCTTCACGCCGGAACCCCATTCAAGTGAATGGGGACCTATTGCTCAGTTTTTGGGGATTTTCGGGAAAACCGCTTGGTGAATCTCTCCAAAAAACAGATGGCACACTATTCCCGATCAGGCCGCACGTTTTGATGTATTTTTCACGCCGCTGTTGGCAACGCTGTGTGAGGAGAGGCGCGCCAAACTTTTGGATAAATCGGATGATTCAGTGTGGCTGTGTGGCACAAGGCAGTAAAACTGGGTAGTTCTAGGTTAGTGGCCTTAGTGTTAAGTTTGGATTGAACGGATGATTTGAGTTTCAGATATTCCAAAAATTGATTGCTCCTGATGCCGTACTTCTGAACCAAGTGAGGGAATGAAACCATGGTGTTGTTATTGAAGATGTGTTTCAGATGAGTGATGCCTTTAGCGGACCATGTGTGGAGATTAAGAGGCGTCTTGTGACTTAGAAAATCAGGATTCACACACTATGATGATTAAACAGTAAACAAAAAAAACAAGTGTGTTCACAAATGTGCCGAACCGGGAGGGGTGATCCCAACCGATCACGGATCAATCCGTGATCGGTTCGGATCCAGCTCTGCTAACCTTAATGCTCTTCCTCTCCTCAGAGCCTTCAGTGAGGAGGAAGGCCTCATTGCCATCTGTGCCCTCCACCCTCAAGAAGCAGTTGGTAGTGTGTCCTATTCCAGAAGGCAGCACCTTGTCACACAGCATGGCATTGATAACTGAGCTCTTCCCATTGCTGGTCCTACAGAACAAACAGCATACCTGTCAGCAATACCTGCACCCTTTCCACAGTTTTACTTTAAGTTGCTTTTTAATACTCTAGTTTCAGGTCAAATTTAATATTTAGAGATTTTCTACAGCTACACAGAATTGGATTAAAAATCTGTTTAAATGTCACATTGTATGCTTATTTTCAGGTTCATAAATGTACTTGTGGTTTCTACTAGAACATAAAGATGTTCTAGTAGATGTAAAGACATACTGTAAATGTCATGTTTCCAAAAACACTTAATTCTTCTCTACTGTCTGTAGGCAGGGTCACCTAGATGGAGGTGGTTTTACTGATCCACCTGGACCCTGATCTGCTTATTTTTACACAGGTTTTCTGATGGAAGCAGCAGGAGAAAAAGTGGAAAGATTGTCTTTTTTGACACTTTGAGGGTCTGTAGAAAATGCAGGCACACATGCATTTTGCATAATATGTGACCTTTATTGAATTAAAAATTGTAAAACAAAAAGTAGCTGCAATAAAACCAAGTCATTTTTATTCAATATAGATAAAGGAAGTTCTAAAATGTGACAGAGAGGCTAACAAGCAGATTTACAAACCTCCCAAAGAAGACCACCTTCATATGCCTGCGCGCCAGCACTTCTCCAATCCCTGCCACCTTGGCGAGGTAACCCCGGACCTCCTGGACCTGCTCCTCTGTGGTGACTGGATCCAGCTCATCATTTTTGTAACTATCTAAAAGGAAAACATTTATCCAGTTTATTTATGAGTTTAAAAATTAGGACATTTTCAAAGTGTTATAGAATAACGAGCTAAATTTCCCTGTACAGTAATGTAAAGTATAACTACGTCAAATTGTATATGGCCATTGGAACAGTTTGAGCAGAAACCCATTGAGTTTCAAGGTAACAATAAACCTATTATGGAAACCAATTCCATCATTTTAGGACTGCTTTAATAACATCCCATATTCAACATACGTGTAATAAATGATTGCTGTAATTATTCCAAGAATAGACGCGCATCAAAATTCAAGCGGCGGCTGGCCTGACCGCATAGTTTTAAGGTGCTGCTGTTGCGGTCTTGTCTATCCTTGGTCTGTCAGTGTCCTCTAAATAGAGGACAATAGTGTAAATACACAACGTTATGAACTTGTTGAGGAAAATCTTGAGGAAATGGATGTGTGGCGCGAGTGTGTGAAAAGTGTCAATTGCTCGATTCTCACCTTGAAAGCATAATTTTACATGTACTACCGAGCATATGCACATGGTATTTCGAGCCCCGCAACAGTGATGTCATGGTGTTATGACACACCCCTGAGTAAAGTTCGACATGAATGCAACAAGGTGAGTTAAAACAAGATTTTCATCTGATGTTACTGAGATACTGTCTAGTATCTTCTGCACAGGAAGCAGAAGAGCTCTTTTGCTCTTCTGCTTCCTGTGTTTGACTGAGAGCAAGGCTGAGCTAGTAACGTCAATAAAAACCTATTATTTATATCCATCTATTCTACAGTTTAAATACATGAACATTAAAAGTACAGACACCGTGTGCTGGTCTGATTATCACTATGGTTGTACTAGGGTTTTTTATGTCTTTTGCTCCAGTCGTACCACAAAGAGAAAAAAAGATTTTTTTTAGACTGATTTGATGTGAGAAGTTAGACCTCCTCAACACCTTAACATTGGCTCTTTCAATGTATTGATGTTGACGTCTGTGTTTGATTTAACCGACACTGCTGTATTGAGCTAACCCACTATGTTGTACTGAAAGGAAATTCCACCAACCTCGGTCGTACGGTCATTAATAATAAATCATTGATTGACTTTTACCCGGGTTCTTATTCAGATACGAGACGAACATGTCAGATTGTATTCAGATTATCATAATGCATATGGCAATAGTGCGTTATGTGTGAAAATTGTTAGAGAGCAAATGCAGTAAGGAGGGTACCATCTAGAAAGGAAGCACTCTCCTTGATGTATGCCCCCAACTGTTCAAAGATCCCGTTGATCTTCTTCTTTGCTGTGACAAAATGCTTGAGCGGTGATGCATTCACTTCCGCCATCAGTCTCTTATCCTTTTTGCCGTGGACTGCGTTGGTGTTGGCTCGTGGGAAAACCAAAGACATGGCACTACACATGGGATAAAACATCAAAACACCCTTATAAGCATGTCTGGCAAGTGTGACTGAAATCTGAAATCCTCTTATAGTGAAAGACAATTAGACAAAGATTGACAGCAGGGCAAATGTGATATCTATTACATTACAGTCATTTAGCAGACGCTTTTATATATTTTACAATTCAGATTCTATCACATTCATACACAGCAGGCATAGCTACGGGAGCAATTTTTGGGGGTTAAGTGCTCAAGGACACACCGACATGCGACTAGCAGAGCCAGGGATCAAACCGAGCAGGGCAACCCTGCTCTCCACTTAGCCACAGTCGCCCCTGCCATCTATGTTAAATACCTTCAACTACTCACTGTAGACTGGACTGACAACCGCTGACTGTTGCCAAACTACAGCCCAGTCCCTTCATGTACATTGCTCTTAAGTCCTGATCACTCAATCTCAAGAAGACCAACAACATTACACATCAGCATTGGGGCTAACCCAGGGGTGTCAAACTCAAGGCCCGCGGGCCGAATCCAGCTCGCCACGTCATTTTATGTGGGCCACAAATCCGCCAGCAAAAAAATATATATACATTTAAAAGATAGACTTGATAATAAAAAATTCCCAGTCGAAATGATGATAGAAAGTCAAAATGAGATACTTCAACACAACAGTCATAGAAGCAGCTCTTTGGCTGGTTACTGTACACTTGACATGGAAATGTATTGTGGGTACATTGAAGACTACTTTAAACGTGGCTTTAAAACACATGAAATACTTCACATGGAATTGTGCAAACGCACCCTTGAAAGGATTTTACGCATTGAACAAAGTTATTGTAATAACTTGTTTGATATTTTCTTTAATAGTTTGATCTTTGATAGAGTAATGTGAGTTTATTAACCCTAAATTAAAAGGATTTAAGTTGTAATAACAGAAATGTGCTGAAATATATTTTTACATCTATATAACTGCATGTACAATATTTTTACACTTGACAGTTATTTACCAATATGTTAGTAGATACATTTACACTGTCTTACATTTACAACCGGCCCTTTGAGGGAAACCGTGATGCTGATGTGGCCCAGAGTGAAGATGAGTTTGAGACCCCTGGGCTAGCCAGTCCATCTCCACCTTTCAGAACACTGGCTGGGTGTAGCCGAGGAATTAATCTGTGTTTTAATGGCTTAGCCAGTAAGTTCATTTCAGTTTCAATGTCTTCTTCATGCTGGCCCATTCTCTCTCTCTATGTATACCAAGGGCAAATTCAGGGTTGTTTTTAGTCTCTTCGGGGGAGCTTCACGTTGAAATAAAAAAAATGTAAAAATACTGCCATCTTTACCTTCTATAATTAAATAAATTGTTTTGGGTAACGATTAAAAAATTAAATGTTTTTTGTTTACGTTAGCTTCCTCCTCTGGAATCTGCATTAACTGCTCATTCTGTAGTAATGAACGCATTGACACGCATACTGGACTTACTGAATGTACACAACAGGATAACTTACAGTGCAGTCAAACACCAACTGCGGCCTCACAAATGACCAGTAAAAACAGAACCTTCTTGACGAATCTTCTCTAACGCAGTAACGTTATTAACTACCCGTTACCTGTACAGCCCTTCCATTAGACTGAACGTGATTGTAACGCTTCTAGAACGTGTGCGTGTGTCCACCTGTGTGGTGAGGCCGAGCAGGCCATTGTTCAGCTGTGTCCTTTCACACAGTGTGAAGGTAACTCTGCAGTCATGGTCTGGGTGTCTTCTTTCACTCGTTTAAAACCGGCTAACGTGAACGTACTAAATGGAACACCAGCACAAACCCAATTGGAACAGCGAGACTGACACATTCAGCTGAAATCGATTAAGTTGACGCAAGCAGTAAATAGCAAGCTAGCCTTTATTAAGGTCCATGTCATCTAGTTGTCTAACGTCCCATATCTAATGTAGTTAGCTGACATATCATATACCAGTCAAATAACCGCCAGTCCTTGTTTTTGTGTTAACGTTATCAGGTAGCAACGTTACTGCCCCTGACAGGCATGGCAACGCATTGAAGTGGGAACGGGTCCTTGTTGAATTACAAGCTAACTAACTTAGCCTGCCACTGAAGTCCATTTCGAACAGCAGCTAACGTTAGCTAGTGTGACATTACTTCAGAAACCCGCCAAACAGACAGGCAGCTGTTTGGGTTGTGACTTACCGTAGATGGGGTCGTTCCTCACAAATAATCCTCTTGCATCCTGGCCCCTCGGCTTTTTGAATCTCTAAAAGCTAACTAGCTGATAACGTTACTGCGCGACTTAAGCTATTAGCTTCTGCTACCTATGCTAGGTTAAGGGGGCGTCGCTATTTGTTTTTAGCAAGCGCAGGCTTGATAACAAGCTGTTCTGCAGCACTGACGGTGTTCTAACAGCGCAAATGACGACGGAGACGAAAGTAAATCTATTCCAAACTCGTTGTTTCCCAACCTGCACGTCGTTCCAGCACGTTTCCTTGAGATGTTGCGCTCTAGGCAGACTGCTCACCAATGTTGCCAGATCCGATTGCCAGTTTGCCCCCCCCCAATCACAACTTAAAATCCGCCCAATTCAATAAATGTTGAACAGCACAAATCATAACCTTGCCAGAAATCCGTGTGAAACTGTAAAACCCATCATAAAAATATCTGCATCAATTAACCAAAGACAAAATGCAACCCAAAATGAGTGCAGTCAGACAACTAAATAGACAAATTAATGAGAATGAGAATGACGTCAAGGTAATCGGTTGACTGGAAACAGCCCATTCTGGCAACGCCTCTTTGCTGTTTTACGACAGCCGGCATCCCTCAAGCCGATGTAGCATTGCTGATCCCTTCTGGAACAATCCATTACTGTGCCATCTTCGGTCTTGATCCTTTTTACTAGACCAGTGACTCTCAAGAAGTCAAACAGGCATTGTCTTCCTTTTTCTTTGCCTCCATACTCTAGAATACATTTATTAACATCACTTCTCTTTCTGCCAGTTGGTTGCTTCCCAAGATGAATAGTTTGCTGTTCAGATTGGTGCCCCCACCCCTTCCTCATTCCGGTCAACTTTACTTTCTTTTGTTTACTTTCATAAACACTCACAAGTTTAGTAATGAGACACAAAATGCACCATCTATTGTGCCAAAATTCCTCCTTTTCTTTTTTTCGGAAAAAACTTTATTTAATTTATAACAGGTTTACAGTTCTATAAATACATACCCAATTTATAAATAGACAGACACATAATACACAAAGACAGATACAGATGCAAGAAAGTGATGTGTGCCTGGATGAAAAGTTTATTAAATGCCATGGGAGGGTCTGGTTTTTATCCAGAGTTGTCCTCCTTCTGAGGTCAGTGACTGTGTTTTATTACCATGTGGCTGTCTATAACAGTCTGACTTATTACAATTACACATTAGTTTTCCACAGTTTAAAACATGTAATGCTGACAATGAGTTGGAAAAGTTCTCGTTGTTTCACAGGCATCTTCTCATCAAACAGAGCAAACAAAACAGATTTATATTTCACATGGAAAACTAGGCCGAGGCATTGAAGGACCAGACCTCTTGAGCTCTGTAACAGTCCATGAGTAGATGTTGTTTCATCCTCATTACAATGAATCATGGGACATTTCTTTGTTGTGACATAACAACTCCATGAAACAGTGGCTCTTACGGCGAGTTGACAGACATGAGCCATTGGACATCTCTGATGCTCTCTGAGAGGTTTTTGTTTTTTAACATCTTTATTACTTCCTCACCTTCAATATCGATTAAATTTTTGTATTTAATGAATCCACCATATTTGAAATTGTTCATCTTTTTAAAATCATTTTTACTCAATAGACCATTCCAGTCTATCTGTAGGTGTTGTTGAGTTATAAAATCTCCAAACCTTATATTCAGGACCTTGTCTAAGTCTCCCTTTCCTCTTTCTCTACATGGAGCAATCGTCTTCCCAGAGTGTTTTTTGAGTGAAATTGATTTTCCTAAAATGAATTACTTTATTTTAAGATGCACATTTTTCAAAAGCTTTCTATTATGTAATTTATTTTTTAATCCAGCCATTATTTTACTTGAAATGAGAAGAACATTTATTTATGTGTTGTTTATAATCCATCCAGTTAAATTTGAAAACTGAGAATAATAATTTTTAAAATATAATTGATGTGTACTTTATTTGACATTACTATTAGACTTCTTGAATATATACAATATATATGGCACTAAATAGTGCAAGTTAGAAATTATTGTAATGTTCCGGACCTTTGCACGAGATTTTCTCAATCTGGACCTTTTGGAAATTTAATTGAATACCCCTGGTATAGAGGTTTGTTTTTGGCATATTGGATGACCCCCAATAGACGCCTCACATTAGTGAGGCGACCTTGCACAAATCCTGTTTGATCAGGCCCGATGATGGTGGGTAGGATGGGGTCGAGTCTTTTAGCTAAGAGCTTGGCCAATATTTAGTTTTCCACACAGTGCAAACTAATTGGTCTATATGAGGAAGGTTCCTCTGGGTTTTTACCTGGCTTTGGTATTAAGGCTGTGTTGGTTCAGGTATCTTTTGATTCAGGAAGGAATATTCGTACATTTTACTTAAGAGTGGAGTAAAAATGTCTTTGAATGCTTATATATTTCTGGGTGGAAGCCGTCTGGGCCAGCTGCTTTCCCAGAAGGGATGTCATCATAAGTGGAAGATGATGATATAAATCACAATAAAAACAAATTGAAAAATCAACGAAAATACAAAACATGAAACACAACATATTCCTCATAATAAGCCTAATTTCACCCGCAAGCTGAATAAGACTAAAACTATATTGAATTTATGGCTTTAACAAGATCGATCATATTTCAAGATTTGTCTTCAATTTTTTCCCTCAATTTTCATGACATGAAAAGACATCAATAAGATATTCACAAACTGGTCCAAGCCGACATCAGGAGGATATACAATATGTGCTGATGGGAAGTTGAATGTGTCTGGATTTACAGGTTTCCTCTTCATTTTTCACTGCTTCTATGGGTTAGGGATATTATAAACCACCTTCAACACTTGAAGTAAAACACAGGGACACAGTAGAAATCAAAAGATTAATTTATTTTCTATTACTTTATGTTCAGACAATCAGAAAAGGACTTCTTTTCACTGTCTTCTAAAATCTATTAAGTGATAATACAAACACCTAACGCAAAATATATCTAAGTTAAAGGTGTCGAAACCTGCATTGTAGTGGTTCTCAGAGCCGACCTAAATGCAAGCAACACAACAGTACTGGATGATCATTTAGTGAAATGAATCCTGGCATCCTCAGCTCTCCACCGCTTCTCTACGTTCAGTCTGGAATGCTTCAACGTGTCAAGTGTTGTTTTGCAGACAAGCTGCCACATCTTAATATGTCCTAAGCAATGCAGCGACAGCAGACATGTACCACATAATGTAACATGTTAATGACTCAAGGTTCTGGAGTCAAACGCTCATTTAAACCATGGTAAATGGACTGACTTGCTCAAGCCACAAGACGTCCTTTTCAGTGAAATGTAAACCTGGGTCATTTCAAGGACTTCGGTATGCTTCAAAATAAATGCTTGTTGGATCCTCTAAGTGCATCTGAACACCCCATTCTACTTCAGAGCTGAAGCAGGGAATGAGGGAGTCCGTCAATATTTGCTATGTTCTAAAATATACAATCCAACAATCACGGCCACTTCATGCAGTGATTGGTCAGCTGTCTCTCCCAAGCTCTCTTTTTTAAACTACTTCTGTCACTTTCATGTGAACAACGGAATGTAACACCATCAACGCCTCTAAGGTGAGACTGTCTAAAAGTGTGCGCCAACAACAAATAGAGTTGTTAGAGATCAGAGAGGCAGTGAGACGCGGGCATGAGGAGAGTAAGTCTGATGGCAGGCAACACTGACGAATTCCATTTACAAGGCCACATGGGACTGTTCATGAGAAATCTGCATAACCTGAAAGAAGACGGTGAATGTCGGTGAGTTTTATTCACACATCTCCCAGTTCAAACTGCTGGGTGCGTTGCCATGCACATGCACACACACACACACACAACATAGTCGGCATTGTGTGTGTGTGTGCATGTCATGTTCGACAAAGAGCCTAACGTGGCACACACATAACGTTACTACCAGGCCGCAGCGGTAAAACAGCATTTTACAGGCAGGACAGTCAAACCATTTTCTTTTGCAACTTAATGACTTAATGAAACGATGACCCATCCCTCAAGCTCCGAGTGAACAAACACAGTGCCAAAGTGTTGTCTGTACATTCCAACATGCAACTGTGGAATTCCTTTAGACTGAGACCCAGATTCATAAACAGAGTAAACATTCCAGACTGAAGAGGCAGAGACACTGAAAACAGGACTGATGCAGTGTGACCTGCCAGGCAATGTGGTACTTGTTGCACTAGACATAATTCTGCTGTGAGCTAACCTCAGTAAAAAACTATGGAGCTACAAAGTACATGTGCTTGTTCTGACAAAAATAAAACTCTACACAGACATTTTCTCTGCAGTTAGATGGACAGTCACCTGTCTCTTCTCTGAGGTAGTAAGTAAGTAGAAACATCATTAAAGGCAAGTATAGAGAACAATGTTTGACTCTGGAATACACCACTAGGACTTGTGTACCATGTCCTTCAAAGCTGAACTTGGAGCATACAGCCATCTTCAGCAGTAGTCAAATCTGCCTAACTGTTACAGGTTAAAACTATTACTAAGGATTTTTGCAAAAGGATATATGACATGGTAGAGGTAGAAAATTTGACCAAATCATAGTGTCAATGTCTGTCACTAGATAAAGAGTTTAGATTCATAAAATCTACCTTTATAGTTTGAATCGAATGGCACAGGTAAGAGCCACAATAACTAGAAGCAAATACAAATGAAAACAAAAACCCACAGTTCTGTGTGTTTGAGGTACAGATCAAATTCATCTTTTTTTTTAGAAATGTTATTAAGTGCTTAAACCCAGTCAGGACATTAGACACTCTTAGAGAGGCACAACAGTAGTATTTTAAGACATTGGTGCAACACTTGGATGGTTAAAATGAAAGAAGTCCTTCAACATACAGTTCTTGGAGTTAAGGCAGAAATGAGAATCATCTGAATCTCTCTCTCAAAGATCTTCTTTCCAATATCACATCCATCACTCACAACTTCCAGCTGGAGAACTTCTCCATCTCCACTACACTTGACCAATTTCTTGAGCTGATCATCCATTGTCGGAAGGCTGCTGGTTTAGATGAATTATTCTTGCCATGCTGCACTGTGACTCCAGTAAAGGAACCTTGATCTCAACAGACCAACACTCCCTCAACTGCTTCCCTTGTCTGGCTTTCCTGAGGAGGCGGCTGGGCTGGGATGGGATGGGATGGGGGGGGGGGGTGTCACCTTTTAGTCCTAATTATATCAGATACTCTTGAGATCCACAACCTTGTGGAGAAATTAGTGTCAATACATAGTAAAAGCTAGGAAATAGGAACAAGTGCTCTTGAAGGCCCTTGTGGAATCTATGCTGCATTCTATTTAGGAATAAAGTCAGAAATTCACAGCAAGCACGTCACAGTTACAACCTGCTCAGACCCAGTGGTCCAGTTTGTAAAGAACAAAACCGGAAACAGCGAGAGCTTTGAGACTTCTTTTTGCCTCATCACAATGCTGTTCTCAAGTCACATTGTGTAGCTAGGGTTGCCACCTTCCATTATGGAAAATATGTGAAAAAGGGCTGGATGACCTCTTCTCAAAAACAGCTCGATCAGCATATTGCAAAGCGCTTTTGTTTCTTACTATGTGAGCAAACAGGTGAACTAGAACGTGACAAACATTTTATATTTTCTTTTCCCCACAGTCTCAAACGAGTGTTTTTATGCATTTTGTGGGACAGGCAGCCATTCTAAGATCAGTGACCTGGTTTGCAGTGTCAGCAAATGTACATTTCAGAGTTCACGGTTTGACCTTTTAACACGGCGGATTGAATGGATTGGAGGACAAACAGTTGCTGCACTGCTCTCTGGGGCCGAAACACACCGAGGATGCTACAGCATCGCCGGAGGAGAGAGACGAGTTGTGACTGAAAGCAAAAGTCTGAAGGAATATTTTCATTTTTCAGCGATATATACTGCGATATGTAAATACACGGGAATATTCACTCTCAATTTTATACATTTTAAAGATGAATGCATCAGTTTGGTGCATTTTAAGAGGCTAGATAAACAATGTTGTGCTCTTGTAAACAATTTTGTGCTCTAGTAGCCTAAACAATTTAATTACAAAACACGATGTTGAGATATGAATGGTGATGACAGCACAAAAGTCACACCTGTAATGTATTGTTAACGAGGCGGGCTTCATGTTTCAAGACCGGTCAGGTGTGATGCCGACATCACCATAGACCCCTCATGCTGAGGAGGGCCCAGCCAGCACCAAGTCCACGGTGCTAAATAGCTCACAACTGGAGCCGCCAGTCGCCTCCACCCGGGGCCATTCAACACCGCCGTGGAGGATCCTCGCACACCCAACGGCCATCTCTGACCCACTGAGTTAACTCCCCCAGGCAAAAGCGGACCCAAATTTGCAAGAATAGGGGTGCAAGGCAATTCTCCAAGTCCACGGTTTGATTTGACTTTTTTGACAGGGGAGTTGGGGCAGCCAGACTCGTTGCTGCAGTCCATAAATCCTCTACAACCCACAAACACATTTATTCTTTACATGTTGGCAAAAATGCAACACGTGACTTCAGGGAAGCAGGATTTTACACTTCTGTTGCTTCTCTGTCATCTGTGACTCGATGAGTAGCCTTGGTGTCTCAAAAAGTGTAGCTGCAGGGCAGGCAACTGGTGGGCTACTCTGTGCCATCTATCAAGTGTCTTACTGGTTGTTGTTTCTTTGGACGCGCCAAGTAGGCGGGGATGGAGGTAAAAAAAAATACTGGGCCAATCGCCAATCCTGCTTTTCACTTTGAAAAGTCGAAATTGAAAGCTCATTTTGATAGATATTTGATTTAGAATCAAAATCGTAACAATCCCTAGTACAGAAGTGTAAAAATATATGCAGTTGATTATGAAACTGTGGCGGGCCTACTAATTAATGGGAAACACTGGATTAGTCATGAAAAATGAGAACTGTGGGACGTTTCCTTTTGTATCAAGCAGCAAAAAAGTTGTAGCATGACGTGTTGCAAACATGGCAATGTCGATGCTGAAATATATCGAGCAGCCCCATTGGTTGCCACTTGTAGTTAGCAGGTGATCCATGAAGTGTCACAAAAACTGCAGTATATTAGATACAGTAATAACATTATAAAGAACAGGTTCTAAGCCACACTTCTCCGTCTGAACAGTAACTACTATGTTAACTGTTCACTCAACACAACATTGGAATCGTTTTTTGTTAAAAGGTTTACCCACACTCAAACGCTGTTGCAGTTCACTTTCAGTAACATTGTGTTACACTTTCGATTTACTAGTTTTTCTAATAATAGTAAGTGCAGTCAAGCTTTACAGTTATTGTTTACTGTAACTGCTATTAGCTGCACTTACGGACACTTCAAAATAGGCCACATTCTGACAGACAAAGGTTAGATTTCCATTACTTGAAACAATGGTTGATGATAACATTTGGTTATTTCATCAACGGTCATTTCCCGTCTGCTGATATACTTGGACACATCAGTGGGTGTGATGCTGGATGGTAAGCTCTTTACTGCATATTTTAGTGAGTCAGATATGAAATACGGACAGTGCCATTTGCATTCTCTATTGTTTTTTGCACATACTCACTACACGAAACATCTTACATCAACTTTTCTCTTCAACTCTGTAAGGCTGCTCATGATCCAATATTCTAAAATGAGAACATCTCAAGTCAGCGTCCATAAGGAAGGTGACTTTCCTTAAAACAGTAGCATCTTCGATGACAACCTAAAACTGGATAACTCTCAGTACGGTGCAGCACCTGTGACGAGTGTGTTAAGTGCATCCACTGTTGGTAACAGGTCTGACAAAAAGAAGTACTTCTCTACTTTGGTTGAAGTGAGACCACCTTTCCTCAAATGTTCAAGCTTCCTTTTAAATAATGAGGTAATACTGATGAGGTGATTTGTTGTGTTCAACAAAAAAAAACTAAGATTAGCATAATTAGCACTGACAGGCTAAAGTCACACACTTGTTTTACAATAAAGATGCCGTTCTCATGTTTTACCCTTTTCGTAAAAAGGCATGAGCACGTGTGAAGGCAACATTTGTAGGGACAGAGCTGCTTACTGCTGAAAGGCCTGGTAGTAGTGAGGTAGGGAGCTGGAAGTGCTCATAGCAGGACTGCTGTATGCCTGAGGTAGCTGGCTGTGGTTATGGGCTCCGGGGCCTTGTGGTACATGAGCCTGTGGAGGTTGGAAGAAGGTGAAAGGCCCTGGTGCCTGGGACGACAGCCCAGAGGAAGATGATGGAGGGGAAGTGGTGGTGGTGGGTGGATAGCTCATCACTAACCCCCCCATCCCCATGTGAGGGCTGTAGGGAGGCAGGCTAAAAGGAAGGAAGCCCAGCAGAGGCCCCAGGTCCATGTTAGTGGTGCAGGACAGCTCGGTTGAGGAGATAGCGGGGCTCCTGGACAATAGGTGGGGTTCACCGCCAGCACCCACGCCTTCACCCAGCACCTCCCTCTGAGGGGAGGCAGAAGTAGAGGTAGAGGAGTTGACTGCACTCAGGTGAGGTGGGGGTGCACTCTGCAGGTCCAGCAGGAAACTGTCCACGTCTGCGCGAGGGTATGAGGTAGATCCGTGCTGGTACCTGGCCATGTTGCCGTAGGGCTGCTGCTGCGGAGCCACCGGGGGCTGAAGGTGATGGTGGTGGGGGTGAGAAGATTGAGGGGGCATGTGGCGAGCCACACCCATACTCGAGGACAAGGAGCCCTGCATGAGGCCATGAGGGTGGCCCATTCCAGGGACAGGATTGGCCATGGGGTAGGAGTTGTACATGTCCCTGGAGAAAGTCTCCATGGGCTCCTTGGAGCTGATATCAGACGCCACAGGGTTAGGCTCCTCCTTCACTGGGCACTGGGTGGCAGGGGTCGGTGTAGCCACAGGAGTGCTGCTGGGTGTGCAGGGTGGCATCAACCCTGACTCCTGGGCATGACTCTTCTTCAAATGGCGAGTCAGGTGGTCTCTGCGGCCAAAGCGTTGTGCACAGCGCGGGCACAAGAAATCACGGCGCCCAGTGTGCACCACAGCGTGACGTCGCACATCCTTACGGGTGTAAAATCGGCGGTCGCATCGCTCACACGAGTACTTTCTCTCTCTCACAGGCACAGTATCGTTTGAGTTGCCCTCTGATGGTGGAAGCCTGTCAATATGGCTGCCCAGGTGCTCCAGCAGGGATGGCGACCCCTCTGGACAGGGAAGGCCTGATGCAGCGCTGTGGGCTGCCACCAGGTGGCGTCTATAACCCAGCTGGGTGTTGTACTGCTTTCCACACTCCTGGCAGTGGAAGAGCTGCCTGCTGGCTGGGTGGCTTTCCTGCAGCTGGCTCTTCAGATGGTCCTGCTGGTGAAACATGGTCTAACAGAAGGAACAGTACTGGCTCTGCTGCTGCACAGGGACTCTGGCCAAGAGCCGGAGCAGACACAGGCAAGACTCATGAGGATCCTCCAGAGAGCTGACCATCAGCCTACAGACCTCTTGTCGTTTTGTTAACTTAGAGTGCTAGAATTAATGCTAAGAGCTGTTTGTTGACCGTTTGATGGTCTCTTGTGGCAATGACTAGTGGTCTGTCCTGCCTCACTGGGGCAAGCTTGTGTCCAGCACTTGGTTTCTGTGACAGCAGCTGCCATAGCAACCCCAAAAGGGCTGCGGTGATGAAGAGTTGTGGAAGCTCTGACTGGGTCTGTGTGTTTCCCGAGAAGAGCTCTTGTGTTGGCCCACAGTCTATTTTAGTATTCAGCAGCCCTGAATGCCACAGTCACAGCAGCTGAATCACAGAGGCAGCGTGATATCGTTACAGACCTGCAAAACAAAAAAAATTGTCAATACTGGCATAGTAAGAGGCATGCTGTATGAGCTGACTTTAAAGAACTATAAAAAGAGCAAAACATAATTCACACATTTGACTCTACAAGTCCACAAAAAAGTTAGTCTGGAGCCTTGTATTGCGTTTTGAGATGTTTTTTTTTTTGCTTTGACAAAAACAACAACAGAAAATGATGAGCAGAGGAGAGCAGGGGGCGGCTCCCATTCATGTTCTTGTTTCTGACACTTTAGTCAAACAAAGCATGTAACCCTACATGGACGTACTGCCCCGTTAGTGGAACAAACGCATATGGTTAAACTAAACTACAGCTCCAAGTGAAAGTGAAACTATTGAACAATTTGACTTATTACTATTGATTAACTATTGCAGTACATATCGCTATCGTTTTATCGCCCAGGCTTAATAAATCAGTTTTAGATTATTAACAAGGCCTGTTCAATTATGACACGATCGCCTGATCACGATTATTTGACCACAATCAAGTGAATTTTAAGCCACTTTAGAAATGTGCAACAAATGGAATGTGAATTATGTGCGTTTGCATCAGCTGGGTTGAGGCAAATAAATGGTCCGAGCACAAGGTCCCAACATCAAGAAAAAAAAAACAGACCATATTTCTTGCTTTCCAAAGCAAGA